GCTTAGCCTTGGTACCTCTGTAGGTAAAAAAAAAAAGATCTTGTGTCCGAGTGGTCCACTTTGCAGCAGTGATAACTACCTGCAGGGAAGACCTTAATGAATTGGTTTGTTTGTAGGGAGAGGAGAAGAAGATAGTTTCTCTGATTTGCTCTGTTTTCCTTTCTGAAATCTTCTTCTCAACAGTCTGAAAACCAGGTGATCCCCAGGGAAGACTTAGGTCTTTATTTTAAAAAAAAAATTGAAACTAGAATTTAAATTGCATAGTGATGAACATCTGAACTATACAAAAGCTTTTATGGCACAGTCACTCTTGTTTTTCAGAATGGGCTTGCATATGGCTTTCTGTTCTGTTTCAAAAGTTAAACTGTGAGGGAGTAGCAGTGGTGGAAAAATTAATGCATTTAACCATTCTGTAGTTAAACAGTTTTAATTACATCACTTAATTAGCTTGTGTAATAAATGTATTTGCTAACTCACCATTTTTCTAAAATGTAATTTCTTTCTTCTTGTTATATGAAGTATAAAACCATCTCTACCTGAAGTGACAGCTGAAAGTGCTGTTTATCAGTATCATTCATCTATATCATACTGTTTTTTTCATAGCCTGTATTCTCTCTTTTTAGTGTAAGACTTTAAAATTTGCATTTAGGATTTTAGTGTCTGGTTACCGTATGATATAGGTAGATCTTCAGCTGAGGTTTTTTAGACATGCTGGTATTTTGACTTTGTTCACACTGAGCCAAGTGCAAAAATATTGTAGAGGAATATGGAGATTTGCCTCATCCTTTCTGTCTCATGAGCATCAGTTACAGGGGAGCAGTCTCAAGCTCATTACTTGGTTTCATGGTTACAGTAACCTCTGTGTTCACTATTGAATTTTGTTCAGTTAGCAGTTTATCACATTATATTAAACAGGATTTCATTAAGGAAGAAAGTCTGTTCAACAGGAGGCCTAATAATGTGGAAGAGCCTGTTATGAAGCCTCAGGAACCAATTATGTAAAGGTATACAATTTATTGAGAATGTTTGTTCTTTATATCCACTACAACTTTGGTTATTATTCTGGCCAAATTTGCTTTTGCTGTATTTCCACTCTTTTTATTACACTGCTTTGGTTCCTTCTGAAAAGCAGTTTAGTATTCCTTTGAACAAACATTTTGAATATTTGTCCAGTGAAATATTTTTTAATCTTCTTTTATGTCTGCTCACGAGATCTAATCTGTGTCCTAAACTTGCAAAGCAGAATCCATTTTAGGAGATGTCTGCACAGAAAGGGAGAAGTGATAGACCCTGGTGTTAGTGCTGGCGTTGGACCTGCAGGACTGGAGGAGTGCTTGCTTCACAGGGTCAGCTAACAGCAGCAGCGATGACGGATAGTTTATCTCCTGGACTTTGGCAGCATCTTTAGGTGTCTGTTAGGCCAATGTTTCCCAGGAAAAGAGAGGCTGCCATCCTGTGCAAAGAGTCCTTATTGCCTTTACAGAGGCAATGGTGGTGCTTCAGCAAGAGAGCAGTGTCTCATGATTTGGTTTTTTTGAGAGAAGGTTTTAAGCTCGTGAGTGAAGGCTCATGATGATGTCCTTAACTGCTACAGATAAGACAAATGTTTGTGCAATTAGGCCTTAGTGTGTCAGGTTCATTTGAATGGTTTTGTAAGCAGGAAACCGATGAAAAGTCTGAGACCTGAATAACAAGAATCCGTGACGGATATCAGGTTCTTGCAGGCTTAGTCTGAGGGGGTCTTTGATTTTTTCTGGTTTTGTGTAATGAACTTGTAATCACTGTTAACAGTGAGATCCCAAGTAAACTGAATTTATTTTTCTCTTTAAAACAGCAAAGATATGTGAATTGAATTGTTGACGTTGACTAAAATTTTTCTGTTAGTGTATTATTACATAATATATTTAAATAATATATTAACATATGCTTGGTGTGTTATTACTGTGTCATATTAATATGAATGCAAAATTACTTTATTAAAATTGTATAATGCGTGTGAAAATGGTGGTAATTATAATATATATTAAAACTGGGATCCTGTGACATAGAGCAGTGCTGGAGGTGGCTTGATGCAGTTCAGCAGAACCAAGAGAGGACCAAGCTTTGGTCTCTGTTCTGCTCCTCCTTTTGCCCTCCCACTAGGTGAATCATTACTGAATGATTGCATGGCTGATTAGATTAATTTTTTTAATCTTGTCTTTCTTTATACATATACATATACTTTTGAAAATGGATGGTCTCTCTTCAAAGAATGGAAAAGGTCTGTGAAGGGCGTGGAGCTTTTAACTAAGTGGACCTAATGAGTTCTCAGCTTTAAAGTAGAGATGTGTCGAAGCCAGCTTCTTAGTGGTTCTCAGTATTCATAGCACAGAGATACAAACCCTGAGGTTTTGCAATGTATTGTAAGTGGAACTAACACTTGACCCATCCTACTACTAAATTTACACATAAAAATGAATTAATATTAAATTATTTGACATCTGGATCCTAAACTATTCATTGGGTATGTATCTCACCAACAGTGTTTTACATTGATTTCAAAAGAGTTTTTGAGATTTGTGGAGTCTGCACAATAGAAGATAGTGCTTAAAGGCCAGCTATCTGCGCTTCACGGCAACCATGAGGAAAATCAGTGGGAGAATTACGCCTTGCGGGGGAGTTATAGCTTGTGTTACTGTTGTTCATTTGTTGGTGTCCATGTTCAAAGTATTCTTCAAATTCCACAGAATTAATTCAAATGTGTGATCTTTGCCATAAAAAGCATCATTGCTACTTGAATAACCAAGGAACAAGTTAATTGTGCTAGACTAAACATTTTTATGCCACTGAATTCTGTGCCAGTAATTTCAGAAGGGAATGACTGTAACCCTGTCAGACGTGAGATCACAGTTTTCCACTGCTGTAGTTTTTTGAAAGGGATATATAATTTTAGGTAAAGAGTACTGACATCTTGCGGCTGCATGAAATAGTGCAAAGAGCTCTGGTCATAGCAGTCTTTATATTTAGAAGGGCATGTTGCCATTTTAACCAAAACTAATGACTGCATTTCCCAGTGGATGTAAACACAAGCCTCTAGAATAGGCTGGTCTCGTGAAAAGCGTTAGAAGTCTGTCTTACAATTTTGCTGTTGCTCATGAAGATACAATTATTATTCGTGCTAGAATTACTGTTTATTTTAAGATAGTCTTGGATCAATTAGACTCAAATATTATTAAGGCTCAGAAATAGCTGAGAGAGAAATAGAAGTATGAATCCCCTCCAATATTTTTCATTAAAATGAATTTCACTTACATAACAATGAAATCTTACCAACTGACATTCAATTAGTTTGAATTTTCTATCCAGCTTTTTTATTTTGTTTAAAGACTTAACTATTTTTTGTAATCAAAATATGCAGGAAAAGATGAGTAGTCTTTCCTCAGTCCACCACGGATGCGGTGGTTGCATGAGGACCGTCGCAGGCACAACTTCTGTGTCTTGTAGCTGTGCCCCGGAGCCCATCCAGCTGCACAATGACTGCCTTTCTCAGCTGGACCACTTCCCAAATCTGTTAGCTGGCCAGTTCCTGAAGTGTTGGTGCTGGCGCAGGGCAGCGGGCAGTGGAGGGGCAGCAACGAGCAGCGACGGCTTGCAGCAGCTTCAACGTTCGTCAAGGGGCAGCCTCATGCTGCTCAGCCACTGGTCTCCATGGTGAGACTGCTGGACACAAGTGGAAGAGGCATTTGGCCACTTCTGTCCCTCTCCTTCCCCCGGGTTCACTCTCTTTCCCACATGTCAGCTCAAGTCAACGCATTGGGAGTTGAGGTCGGCTTGTGGGAAATAGCACCGCAGCGTGGGAACGGTGACGTAACGAATTGCAGTGTGAAATCTTGTGGCTAGGGAAAGTGATTTTATTTTAAACCAAAACTGATTTTTGTCATTTGCTTTCACACTCTCACACCCGCATGCTCACATTTACAAGCACAGATGTGTTGTCTGGGTCTTGCATGATGCGGAGGGGAAGGGCACCAGCTGACAGGTCCTCCTCAGGTCTCCAGGGCTCCTGCTAGTGGGGTGACCATGTCTGTGCTGGTTTTGGATGTGCCATTTTGTACCTTCTGGTAGCTGGCAGTGATTTATCTCTCAGTCTTGTCACTCCTCTCTGTGTACCATCAGGTTTTTGCTTGCTGTCCTTTGTCTCCCCACACGGGTGTCTTGAGAAGAGGACACAGATGTGCTCCTGGATGGCTGCTAATCTCTCTGCCCCCAGCATGCGCCACCCCAAGAGTCCTCTTTCCAGCGGTTGTTCCTTCTGACACTTCCACACCCGCATCCCATCCATTCTCCATTCATGCCATGTTTAACATTTTTCTTTCAATTCCCTTCAGGGTTGTCTTTCTGGTCATAGTTAATTGTTACTCAGTTGTATCGGGGGGCTTAGACCTGTGCTCTCCTGCAGGTAGGTGATGGCTGCAGGAAACGTGTGAACTTTGTGGACTGACTTCAGAGTTGACTTGCTCATCGTGAGTGTTGTAGGAAGTGTGTCTTCGTGGAAGAGGGAAGCCTGGACACAATAAAGTCAATGAAAAGTTACACTAGTGGTGTCAGTGGAGCCTGTGCCTTTTCAAAGGCATAAGATAATTAGATTAATATTTTACAGAAATAATTTTAACTTTATAATCTAATTTTTGTGATTGCATTAAGATAAAATCTTAGTTCTAATAAGGACATAATTCTGTTAACTAAAAACTACCCTGCAATAGCCAGTATTTCATTTGAGTATGGATTGCAAATAACAGAAAGCAATGCAAGCACCCATTTGATGTTAACACAGTGAATTATCTGAGTAATGACACTGTGGAAAATAATAAATTGTGACAATAAAAAATTATTTCCTCAGCTGCTGTTTTTAATTTGACTATCAGTAGAAATTACGTTTCGTTCTGTTTAAGGTAATTTAGTCTCCATTCCCTTAATGTATTGAAAGGACATAATTAACTGTATATATGTGTCTTTAACAGGAACCAGTGATCCGTATGTCAAGTTCAAACTTGGAGGAAAAGAAGTATTTAGAAGTAAAACAATATACAAGAATCTCAATCCTGTGTGGGAAGAAAAAGCTTGCATTCTTATAGATAACCCAAGAGAACCATTGTATATAAAGGTGAGACACTATCTTACTTATGTCTGTCAAATTATGTCAGAGTAGTTATTGAAAGAATTTCTACGTTGTAATTTTTGTATACTGAAAAATTTATTGTGCCATAGTGCATTACTAAAGACTGTTTAGAGGTGAAAATTATTTAAATTGCATCTGTATAATGATGATGTAAAAATTTCAAAAAAAAAAAAAAAAAGGTAAATACAGGCATTTTTGTTTATTTCAGGCCATAATTGTTTTATATATCTTTAGTGTGATCTTAGGAGAAGGACAGAGAAAGTAAACTGTGTTTCATGCTAACAGCATCCCTTTTATTTATGGAAATATCATTGCATAATTCTGATATGAAGCATAATCCTATTAAAAAGCAATTCTTTGCTGAGGTTAATTTCAGAATTTATCAAGAGGTGTGCCCAATTCTCCTAGGTTTTTTCTATTTGTACCTGAACCCAGAGAGTTTGCTTATATGTTTCGTAATGCTTTATGCTTGCTTTTTCTTTTACATTGTAATTTTACTTACTATATCACCGGTGAGGATGGTTTTGTCACAATAGAGGGATCACTTATTCCAAAACAACAGATAGCTTGAGTTTAAATCAAAGAGAGACCAGCAATGCCCAGAGTAATTAGCAGCAGTGCCACTAGTACTTCTTAGCTATCCATATTGGAATGGAAACTAGAAAAGCTGTGATCATTGTTTTATAGGCACAGAATGGAAAGGCGCTTTTCTGGCCCCAGTAGTTTATGGTGATCTATATCCGAAAGCGATCCTTAATTGTGTAAAATAAAGTAGATAAAAATTAAGTTCTAAAAATGTTATCAGAAAAAATGTACTTTCAGTGTTCTATTTAGAACATAGATAGGTCAGAAATACTTCGAGAAAGATTGGAAACTTAGGTCTTACCTAAGTAATCCTTTTAATTGGTCTGAAGTGATACAATGCTTCAAATCAGTATCAGTCTTAATCTCAAATACATGAAAAAAATTCAACTGAAATATGGAATTGAGGATATTTTTAGTAGATGAATGCCACTTATAACAGCCTTTGTGTATTGATCTGTACTATGTTTCATGTATTCTGCTCAGATAAAGTACATCATTATTAGAAAAAATAAAGTTAATTATAATTCTCAATTGGCATTTTCCTGCCCTTATTAAGCTTAGTGACTCATAAGAAATGAATACTTGCCCAGCACTGTGAAAGAGAGAAGCAGATTCAAAGAAGGACATTTTCAACATAGCTACCTGTCTTGATTTTTTTATGCCAAATATCAACCCTGCAGTAGGGTCACAAGGGAATAGGTGTGTGTATTTTTTTTTTTCTTTTTCTGGGAAGAGCGTGTCAAGTGGTATAATGTCTATCCATATTTGTACTCTGAACACACTGTGTGACATATTTCAGTTTTTATAGCTTGTTCACATATTCTAAGACATGTTTAAATTGTAGTATCATAGAATAGAATCATCAAATCATAGAAGGGTTTGGGTTGGAAGGGACCTCTGAAGGTCATCTAGTCCACCCCCCCTGCCGTGGGCAGGGACATCTTCAACTAGA